TTTCCATCTTAAAAATATATATAAATTACGTCATATGCTCTCATTAACAAATGCGGAACAGTTAGTTCATGCGTTCATGACATCAAGACTAGATTATTGTAATGCTCTACTGGGTGGTTGCCCTGCACGCTTAATAAACAAACTACAGCTAGTTCAAAACGCAGCAGCTCGAGTTCTTACCAGAACCAGGAAGTATGACCATATTAGCCCGGTTCTGTTCACTCTGCATTGGCTGCCTATTAAACATCGTATAAATTTTAAAATATTGCTGATTACTTACAAAGCACTAAATGGTTTAGCTCCCCAGTACTTGAGCGAGCTCTTAACGCATTATAGTCCTTCACGTCTATTGCGTTCTCGAAATTCCGGCCAGTTGATAATACCTAGAATATCAAAATCTGGCGGTAGATCCTTTTTCCTATTTAGCATCAAAACTCTGGAACAGTCTTCCTAACATTGTCCGGGAAGCAGACACACACTGTCAGTTCAAAGCTAGACTGAAAAACACCTCTTTGGCCTAGCATACACATAACACACTATAGACTTCTATAATTCAATGTTAGGCTGCATAGATTAGGTCAGCCGGAACCGGGAACACTCCCCATAAATCCTGATGTACTCGTTACATCATAAGAAGGATGGCGTCTACGCTAATATTACCCGAGGTTTACCGCAGTCCGCCGGATCCAGGCCGTATCCAGATCTGATGAAGGACCTGCGCCTGTACACGACGACAACGCAGTCCTGAAGTGTCACAAGTCTCTCCCTGTGAAGGCCTCCTTCCCTTTACCTCTGTACAGATAATCGTTGTCGGGATAATTCCGGTTCGCGTGGCTACGCCGAAGCGATACAATTCTGTATTACAAATTTTGAGGCCAGACAAGTAGTTTGTTGAGGGTTGGTTTTAGGGAAGGACTACATGCCTGCGCACATATATTCAAATGCACATATCTATAAAATTAACTCTAAATACGCATGTCCACGCAATCAGCGCTCTCACAGGTTCGTGTTTTTAAAGTTTGCGTAGAGAGAACTTAAGAGTTTTCTGTTAGAACGGTGTCGTGTTAGCGGCCCCTAAGTTAATAACTAATGATCGTTGCAACGGAAGTGAATCAATCAAAACTAACTTTAGCTGGACAATAACTTTATTCTAGAGCTGCTGTAAAGCCAAAACAATCTCTGTTACTTTAATTTCCTATTATCACTGTAAAGCCGCTTTGGAACAATCTACATTGTTAAAAGCGCTATATAAATGAAGATGACTTGACTTGACTTGACACACACACACACACACACTCTCTCTCTCTCACACACATACACACACTCTATCTCTCCCTCACACACACGCACACACGCACACACACACACACACACACACACACACACACACACACACACACACACACACACACACACACACACACACACACACACACACACACACACACACACACTAAGAACTGATAAAGGAAGAATATACACCTCTCTACTATAAATTCCAGCAAGCAGGTCATGCAGACGACCGGAACAGCAGAGAACAAGGACAGTGAAATGTAATGTTTCTGTTGTATAATAGATCTCACTTGATGAATAGGGCAGAGAAACCAGGCAGAAGAACAGCAGACTCCTCGTCTCACGAGAGGAAGGTGACACTTCTGTTTATTATGGGCGAGAAACAGAAAACACTGGTTTAGATAGACACGCTAGTCCTCACTCATAGAGAACAAGTCTATCAGACTGCATGCCTTGAAGTGTACTTTAAATATGTTATTACCACAGGCTGACAACTGCATGACCGCTAGTAATGAACAAACAAAGAGTTTAAAACAAATTTGATGATTAAAATATGATTAAAATAGCTAGTCATAATTGACTGTGACACAGGAAAGTCACTAACACGTCCTGAATTACTTACATTCGTAAGTAACTTTAAATCCCAGTTACTTATTATGGGAATAATGAAGAGAAAAGAGAACAGATGTGATATATTATATTGATATATTGATTTATTAATATAGGAGACACCTCATTATTGCACTGATGGCCACAGTAACAGTCACACCGTTTCTAGTGTGATCTGATGGCTTCTGTCCCACCAGTGAAGATGTGGACGTGTGTTGTGACATTCCTGTGTGTTATGACATTAATGTCACACATTCCCAATGCAGATTCATCAATGTACTGTATAACACACAACCTGTTGAAACCACACACACACACACAGCTGGTGGAGCTGTTAAACCAGCCGATAAACAGTCCTGGCCACAGACACACAGGGACTCACACACACACACAGACTCACTGTAATGTACAAGCACACTCTGTGCGGTGACATTTCAGTTCTGGGACCGGAAGCTTCAGATGCAGACGCTTCCTGTATAAAAAAACAAACAAAAAAAACACACACACGGCTTTATTAGGGTCAACGTTAATGTTGAAATATGTGTGTATCTGTGTGCTGTCTTTCTGTTTATGTGTTTATAGCCATGAAGTGGAGAAACAGTAGCTTTTGCATCAATAGGTTTAAATGTTGGTTACTCTTCACCTCATTATGGACAGTTCTGTGGATGTGATGTGTGTGGACTGGGAAGGGAATACTTTAAGACAGCGGTTTCCAAAGTCTATATAGTTTATCTGTATGTAAATATATCTGTGCAGTGCTTAAACACGAGAGAGCAGCAAAGAAACATGGATGAACGAGAAGAAAGAGAACGGAGAGCTGAATTCAGTAGCCTACTGATAAGCGGCTTTCTGTGGCGCACATTGTGCTTGATGGAGTGAAATACACACCTTTATGAGTCAAAATGCCTGTGTTGGTGAGTATTCACGCAAACAGTCAGTTATGTCTAAAGTGAAAGTAAACAGTTGGAAGAAGTTATCATTATATTGGATCCATGCATAAGGTCTTAAAGTGACAGCGTTAATGTTAATCAAACAAAAGAAAAAGAAAATCATCCACTGCTCTTGACTGAATATCTTTCAGCTTTATGAAGAATATGTGTGTATGTAATTCATACAGTGAGGGGGTGGATTGTGTATGTTGTGTTATGAATGCCCACTGTCTTTGACTTTGAAAACCCCTGCTGTAAGAGAACATTAGATTATAAATATGAAAATATACACTTACAGATCCGGAGTGAAAACTTGTGAAGTAAAAATCTGAAGTTGAATTTTAAGATTTGCACCGTGGCCTGAATTTGACACTCCAGACAAATAGTTAGAAATAAAAAAATTGCACTTATACGTAAATACTACAACAGCTACACAACTTCCAATACACAGTCAGTCAAAACCTCTCAGATTTGCAATTTGAAATCTTTGCACCTTGAAATCTGTTGCCAAATTTAAGCCCGTTCTCATCTCACCGCAAGCTACGTGAGCGACAGCAACTGCTGGCCACACAGTGTGGGTTTCTTCAACTGGACAACACAGCTGAGAAATGCTTTGTATTTTGCAAATGAGCATTTAATTTTTAGCTGGTATCGACCAGGTCACGTCCTGCCAGACACTGAGTGACGAGAGAGAGAGTTGATCTGAACAGCAGGTCCAATGGGAACTTCGGGCGGCACGAGTCAGTGACGATGTTTTCCCACAAAACATTCATTTTTTTCACTGTCAAAATGGGTTGATACAGTTTGTATTTTTTCTTCAAGATCTGCTGTACAGCAGAAACAAACTTTGTTGCATTATTTTCCTGTTATCACTGTGAAGCTGCTTTGAAACACTGTAATTGTAAAAAGCGATATATAAATAAAGGTGACTTGACTATTGATGCCTACTAGCAACTTCACTGTATACTTACAAAGCAAGTCAACTTGAGAGTTGGGTTGCTATATAATACTAAGAAAGTCACTACGACTGCACTATGAAAAGCACTTCTAGTCAGCGTAAGGCCACAGTTCACTGGAGTGTTTACCAGCTAGCTCTTGTGTTTCATTAAGTATTCATGCCTCATGAATCCAGACATTAACCTTTAAAGCAGGACGGCCCGGACGATCCCTCACGCCTGTCAGGGTGATAAGTGCTTTCGCCCACTACTCACATGCTCACTACAAAGGGCAAGAGGCTCATTTACTTTTTTTTTTTTCTGACAACACCCACAACAAAATAACCTTCAAGATTATATGTCTATGTTTAAAGCTACTAACCATAAATTACTTGAGTGTACAAAATACTGTATGAGAAACAAAACAATAAGTCTGTGAAAACCCTTTAGGAGTACTTCTAAATCATCATTAATACTATTTTAGTCCAGACTCGAATTAAAACAACAGAACATACACAAACTCTTGATTCCATTTAAATTAGAAAAAAAATCATTATTTACTCACCTGTGTCACTCTGGGATGAAAGGTTTTTATTCAAGTTCCCAATCCTTCGGTCCCAGACAAATGATTGATTTACAAAATTACAGTAATGCTAATGTAACATATATTGATACTGTACATTTAAGGTGCTCATGTTCTCTTCTCCTGCATAGTGAGCTTTATAATGTGGACGGTGATGTGACGCAGCAGAACAGCGCAGGGGACTATGCGAGATCAACTGGCTGACACACATCAACACAATGTACGATCTGGGTTTTAAGCGGACTGACAGTACAGATGGACCTCCTAACCACAGAATTAGCTCAGTCGTGACAGCCTGACACACACACAATATCTGAAAAGTTCTGACAGCAAAGATGCTAATATTTGACTAGTGAATTAATTTCAGATTGTTGGTTTTCACATAAAGGATTTCCTGAAAATTGCATCATTCCTTGTAAAAGATGGATGTCTAAAACCTACACACAACATCTGGCTTAAAAGCAAGAGTAATAATTTAAACCATAGACAGATACATTTCAAATATGCATGTCAATGTTTTTATTATAAATAATTTCAATGCCACTGAATTTTTCCTGCCAGCAAATGGAAAAATCATAAAAGCCACAAAGCAAAAACAAAATGTAAGTTGTTCATTGCAGCACTTGAGAAAAAAGATCAAAGACATAGATGTCACATGGTAACCAGTACCGTAATATCATAGAGCAAAATCATCAAACAGTTCACATCCATTAAAAGATACTGAAATAAGGTATAGTATTTCTCCTTTTATAAATCAGAGAACTCAATTTTTCTGGCTCTTTCCCCCAGCGAGGAAATTTAAAGCACATTTCTGGTACTTTCTGTACAGTATTATTATTGTATTGTTTACTATTATTATAACCACTGCAATGTGAACTAGGTTGTTTATATTTGATGACATACAGAAAACACCTTTTCCATGATCCTTAGGACCTCATTAAACACATGCTCCTCAAGATATGAGCGCAAGATGGAAAACAAATGACTTTCTTTTTTTAGACTTGTGCAATAAATATCCCTTGGAAGATGCTGCAATGTTAGATGGCAAGGACAAACCTTTGGAAAGTTGGATTGGACTAATTTGATAGGACATACATTCACCCAGAACCACTAAAAATATCCACACATACAGTGAATGCATTGCAGTTTGCACTTTTGCAGATCTGAGGTAAACTCCAGTGATTGCTGGGGCCTGGGTGGGACATCAGGAGGAAGTCCTGTTGTAACCGACGCCTAAATGTTTGGACAACCACAGTTGTGCCAACTGCATTGTGGATGCGTAAGTGCTTGCTTTGGACCCGACACACATTTTGTATTGCTTGGGCTCTAAACGCGTGTCACAGAAGACAGTATGAAAAATATGCACAATACCTGCTTCTTGAGAGCGAAACACGTTCAAGCCAGAATCGATGACTTTAGTGAACAAATCAACATCCTCTAAACCCCAGCCTTGTATTGAGGTGTCAAACCCCCCCGCTCTAAGCAAGTCGCTTTTGAATATGCAGGTGATCCCAAATCCATAATCTCGCCAGAATCCAGTCTTCTTGGTAAAGACAAAGCTGCTGTCTTCAGGAGGGTCACCAGCATAGACAATTTTGGGGTCATACTGACTGAAGACGACGGGGAAGTACACCTGACTTCCCTCAACGGTGTTGTCTCGACATCTCTGGAGGGCGTCAGAGTTGAAGACCAGGTCCACGTCGCAGAAAAACAGCAGCGAGTTGTTCCTCAGCTGAGAAGAGCCCATCTCAAGGGCCAGGCCTCGAGAGAAGTCTCCCGTCATAGGGATGATAGACAGGTCTGCTTTAGGATATCGGTTGTGATATTCCTTTATCAGCTCTAGGTGTCTCTCCTTATCCGGGTTTGTATCATTGTCGACCAGGATTATGGTCAGCTTCACGTTCTGGTTGGGGATCAGGCAGATTCTCTCAAAGTTTTCCATGTAACGCACAAAGATTTCATAGCGACCGGTGAGCGGGACGAGGAAGTGCACTTTGGTCTGACCCTGGACTTGTGTGGACTCGGAGACCTGGAAGGAGGAGAAGATCTTGAGCGGGCTGGAGAGGAAAGAGAGCGAGCGCGAGTCACCGTTGATGGTGTCTTCCAGTCGGGAGACGTCGAGTTCCTCCGCCTCGCTGAAGAACGGCCGGCTGAAGGACTGCTGAAGGTAAGCGTGTCTCCGCACCGGCACGGTCACCTTCCTACCCTTGTGCTTCTTGTAGAGCAGCAGAAGGTCCAAGATGTACTCAGCACCGTGAAGCGGATCCACACGTCTGTAGCCGTACTGGATCTCCTTGAAGTCTATGACGCGACCTCGAGTCTTCGAGTTCTCGTTGATCATTTCCATCACTTGAAGCACGGTGTCTTCCAGTGCGGAGCGCACCAGGTTTCCGAGGCCCTGACGGGGCATCTGCTTCTTGCTGGACGAGTACAGGTGCCGAGCGGTGAGGAACTCCCACTCGAGGACGTCGCTGCGCCCCGCGGGCCGGTAGCGTGTGTATGAGGGCGCCGCCCCGAGCTGCTGGTCCTCCCGCCGGACCGCGGCGCTGCCGAGCCGGCTCACAGCGAGGGCCTCCCGGTGCAGCTGGACCGTGCGGTGCCGCAGCTGGGAGAGCCGGCGGGTCAGCAGGTACACGTGCAGACGGTACTGGTACGCTGGACGCTTGTTGGGGTGCAGCGTGATGGCGTTGTGGATCTTGCTACTGTGGAGGTCCTGGATGAAGCCTTTCTTGTTGTGTTCATAGTTCTCATAGAACAACTGCTGCATCTGCAGAGAGAAAGAAGAGGACAACTTGAGTATTTTAGTGACTTATACAGCACTTCAGTCAGTCCTCGGACTGTTTTTAAATGTGCTTTATAAATAAAGGAACTAGAACTTATAGTGACACCCAAAGCCTCACCCGTATGCACTTGTTTATCATCAACAAGCATGAATTCCTCCTTCCACCTGATCAGAGTTCCTCAAATCCACTACTTTGCAGACCCTTACAAAAAATAGGTATACTTCCAGTTCATTTTTTAAAGTATACTCCAAATAAGTATAGTTCAAGTATATTACAGTACTTTATGTAGTAAGTATACTAATGTCAATAAACTAGTAGTATACTTGTAAGTGTAATATTTCCATACTACTTTTAGTGTAGTAAACTGAGTACACAACTAGTTTACAACCAAGTTTTTTGATTGTATTGCAACTATACTACAATTGAACTTATATGTATACTGATAGTCATATACTTGTAATAGCACATGTTTTTGTTTACGAAAGTACACTTTGAAGTTTTCTCTCAGTAAACTACTAGTTTATTAGTTTTATACTACAAGTATATTTTAGGCTGGTGACTGCAAATTAAGGGAACTTAACATTGTACTTATACTTTACTGTTTATATATTATTTTTGCATTTTAAGTATACTACTATGTTCCTATTTAGGTATTAATTTGGTAGCACTTTGCGGTAAGGGTACATGAATTGTCATGAATTCATGTATAAATTCATGCATGAATTATGCATTCATTCATGCATTGATATCTCATGAATCATCAGGAACTAACACGAGTTCAACGTTTTTCATTCATGACTTCATGGATGAACAACACCTTAATTAAAACATTAACTAAGATGAGTAAGTGTTATCATTAATTTTTACACTTGAAATATGCCTTTAACTGTACTTTAAGTGGATTTGAAGTAAATTCCTATGTACATTACCATGTACACAACAATTCACACACTTAGGAACATATCTGTTTTCTTTATAAATCAATATTTTCAAACAATGTAAGTTTATGAGACAGTATGTAAAACTGTGAAAAAGGTATTTAATAGGCTTTACAATCAAAAGAGTAAACTAAAAGCCAAGTATACTTAGAATAATTCAATCTACTTTTAAGTATATCTAAATCAAAAGATTGAGTGCAAGCCCCTAGTTTGATTTACCGTTTTATGGATGTCTTTACCGGTCAGCTCGACATATCTACATAATATCTAAAAGATTCCTGGGAAAAAGATTTAGGTATTCAGATAACTGACGAGGACTGGACAGAGTCTATCAAGGTCATAAACACATGTTCTAGTAACTTAAGCCACCAACTTAATTCAATATAAAGAAGTACCTTTTATAGTACTAACTTTTATAGTAAGTAGTACTAACAAATGTGAATCTACCGAGGGCTCTCTGGGAAATCTCTTCTGGTCATGCCCAAAGCTTTACGAGTTTTGGAGCGAAATCTTCAGACTCGACTGTGAGACTTATTCTTATGACCTCTCCCCCGACCCAGCAATTGCTATTTTCGGCTGGTCTAGCTCTCTTCATGGCTTCGGTCATCTAAATCAAAAAGCCATCCGATATGGAATGGTGGTAGCTAAAAAATTCATCCTCTGTCGATGGAAAAAGGCATCAAAACCACTTTTTAAATCTTGGCTATATGAACTCTCTACCACTTTGCATTTAGAGAGACTCAGACACAACCTCTCTGGTGGCAACAAAGTCTAAAGTCTAAAGTCCAAAAGAATGATCTGAAACGCCACTGTATGAGGCAGACTTAAGAAATATCCATGCCCATACAGTGTCTCACACACATAATGCTCACTACGTCAGCTTTGTGTTTCTTCGCATTATAAGAAAGTGGTAGATCCTGGCATAGTCAGCTCTCGGACACGGGATTTACTCCCTGTGCTTCTCTGTTCTCTCACATCTGCTGCTCATGTCTGATCTCCCCTATGGCACGACATGAGTCACACCACCACTGGGATGAGATATACTGGAAAGCAGGACATGACTGTGTTCTAGCCAAGCTCAGTCAATGGAAAATTTGACCAACCCCGTTTAGCCTAATGTGAAATAATAGTGGTTAGACAAAGAGACCGTGTTAACTCAGGATATTATTTGAGAGAGAGTGGATAGGCCTGAAAGAGAGGCCACCAAAACGTAGTACAGCTGTTGAAATTGAACATCTGTAAGGCATCAGAGTGCCAGATTAATTTATATCAGCTCTCGCCCTCACACGCAAACCTGCAAGAGCATCCAAGTGTGCCAGATTTTGTATTTGTATTTGTATTAACCCGCATATTCATGCAGCACGGCCAGTAACGGCTTTCTCCACACCTTTCTGTTACTTCAGTTGGCCTGTGTTCTCCCATACAGATGCATACCCTTAAAAACCTGTAAGAAGCCACTTATGCGTTCACACGACCACATAAGAGCCACATATTCTCCAGGTGTGATAAACACTACTAACATCCTTCAAATGGCGTAAGGATGGCTTTAGTGTTCAAATGATGTTTCAGAACGTTGCTTTTTGCAAAAACCCTGCAATAAATTATTTTCTTAAATGCATATAAAAAGAATAAACTAATATAGTCCTACAAGGCATATTTTTAAAAGCAGCATGCCTGCCGGCATAGTAGATGAACCTCGTTTTATATACAAGATGTAAATCTTTATTGTAAGCTTACCTACAATGCAGATTTAATGGCTCAATTATTTATTTCTAAGAAAATAAGATAATGAATCCTCTATATTGTACTTAACTCAGCTTAAGTGTACTTTTTAAAGTGCCTCTTTAATCACCTTTTATCGCAATATAATCCCCAATAGGCTGATCAAGCAGGGCTGACTGTACATTTCCCAGTTAATACATAGCTACCTGCCAAATATATAAATATGCGGACATGAGTTGACTTGCATTATTATTACATCTGCAGTATCTAGGAAATCACTGGCAACAGCCATTTATACAGTTTATTGTCATTATACACAAATGTACAGAGAAGCCACTACTGACCGATACTATCAAGTGTTGCAGAGAGATTTAATCTGTAAAACAATATTGTGTGATGCTGTTTAACACCTTTTCCATCTCTCACAGTGAACAAACTCCTGATTGCAACAGAACAGTTGAGTCACCCTTACAGCCGATGAAGTCATAACTCCTCAAGACGCCTTTCATGTCGTGCTTACAAGTTATGGAGAAATGATTCCTCCTCGCCTCTAGCGTGCATTATGATGATTAGATGAATCCCGTGCGTTAGACTCGATGACTCCCTCGAACAGCAGCACTACTGTCTGCAGGTCTAGTGCTCTGATGTGCTTCCTAACGCTCAGGCTCAAACACTAACTCCTTTATCCTGACCGGCCTTGTACACACACTCCTGCACTTCACTCTGAAAGCTTCGTCCAGCACGTCACTACTGGTGCTGTTTGAGAGACTGACTAACACTGGCCTGTGGTGTAATTCCCCTGTTTTCACACCAGACCTCCAGACCTGAGCGACCACAGTCTTCCTCATTCCTCTGATGAGATGAAGCGAGTTCCCTGCGGTGTTCAGACCAGAGTAAGCGAGCGGAGCGGAGTGGGAGTGGAGCAGGATTTACAGTTCATGCCAACGGCTCATACTGTAACTGCATTCTTAGCAAGAACTCACACGTTAAACACATTTAGCTAGCATGATACAGATGGATCACTCAAATTGGAAAGAATGTGAAGGTTGGACATAAGCGGGAGTTTATAGTTCTCAAGGAATTCGTTTATCCCTTCTAGATATGCTAGTGAATATGATCGGGTGAAAGCACATTTTAAACAGGTACTTATTCACACACGCAATCGCTCTCTCACTAATGCATTCAAACAAATGTAATCTTACAGTGCTACTTTATCTGTATATGATTTCGAATGACAGAAATCTGTAATAAATGTAGCGACCCGTAGATAAAATTTACACTGCAAAAAGCAGCAAAGATATTTAACTTTTAATGCTGATTACCATGTAATAAGCTTGGCATGTCATTGGAAAAATGTTTGCAAATCAGTGTTCCAATAAACCACGTTGAAACTATTCTCCTAGTATTATTTATTTATTTGATCATTTAATAGGCCTGTATATTATGAACAGAACTTTTGCGAGATTTCAAAGCATGATTGAATGCCTTGAACGCGGAGGGAAGTTGCTGCCACTCCGCTCACATCCTCTGGTCCAGACACTTCTGCATCACGTACAGATCCCCGGGATCCGCTGACGCCCTCAGCTCTCTCACATCCTCTGGTCCAGACACTTCTGCATCACGTACAGATCCCCGGGATCCGCTGACGCCCTCAGCTCTCTCACATCCTCTGGTCCAGACACTTCTGCATCACGTACAGATCACCGGGATCCGCTGACGCCCTCAGCTCTCTCACATCCTCTGGTCCAGACACTTCTGCATCACGTACAGATCCCCGGGATCCGCTGACGCCCTCAGCTCTCTCACATCCTCTGGTCCAGACACTTCTGCATCACGTACAGATCCCCGGGATCCGCTGACGCCCTCAGCTCTCTCACATCCTCTGGTCCAGACACTTCTGCATCACGTACAGATCACCGGGATCCGCTGACGCCCTCAGCTCTCTCACATCCTCTGGTCCAGACACTTCTGCATCACGTACAGATCCCCGGGATCCGCTGACGCCCTCAGCTCTCTCACATCCTCTGGTCCAGACACTTCTGCATCACGTATAGATCATCGGGATCCGCTAACGCCCTCAGCTCTCTCACATCCTCTGGTCCAGACACTTCTGCATCACGTACAGATCCCCGGGATCCAATGACGCCCTCAGCTCTCTCACATCCTCTGGTCCAGACACTTCTGCATCACGTATAGATCATCGGGATCCGCTAACGCCCTCAGCTCTCTCACATCCTCTGGTCCAGACACTTCTGCATCACGTACAGATCACCGGGATCCGCTGACGACCTCAGCTCTCTCACATCCTCTGGTCCAGACACTTC